GCTGGGATCACAGGCACATACCACTACACCTGACTAAATTTTAAATTTTTTGTAGGGATGGGGTCTCCCTATGTTGCCTAGGCTGGTCTTGAACTCCTGGCTCAAGTGATCCTTCTACCTCAGCCTCCTAAAGTGCTGGGATTACAGGCGTGAGCCACTGGACTCGGCCCTCCCTGTGTTCTTCACCACCTCCTCTTCCCTTCCATGGCCACCACCAAATCTATCTTCTTTGTCTCTGTAGAATGGCCTATTCTGGAAATTTCATATAAATTAAGTAATATAATATGTGGTCTTTTATGATTAGCTTTTTTTACTTTTTTTTTCTGCTTATTTTTTTGAGACGGAGTCCCAGTCTGTCCAGGCTGGAATGTAATGGCACGATCTCGGCTCACTGCAACTTCCGCCTCCCGGCCTCAGCTTCCCAAAGTGCTGGGATGACAGGCTTGAGCCACAGCGCCTGGCCAATTTCCTCGTTTAAAAAAATGGAATTTAGCCAGGCGCGGTGGCTCACGCCTGTCATTCCAGCACTTTGGGAGGCCTAGGCGGGCGGATCACCTGAAATCGGGAGTTTGAGACCAGCCTGGCTAACATGGTGAAATCCTGTTTCCACTGAAAATACAAAAAATTAGCCAGGTGTGCAGCTGGGCTTGGTGTCGTGTGCCTCTAATACCAGCTACTCGGGAGGCTGAGGCAGGCGAATCGCTTGAATCCGGGTGGCGGAGATTGCGGTGACCTGAGATCGCGCCACTGCACTCCAGCCTGGGCGACAAGAGCGAAACTCCGTCTCAATAAATAAATAAATAAATAAATTGAATGTAATCCCTGAAATGTATCCCAACTCAGAAGTCAACCCTATCAAGCACCACAGCGTAGAGCAATACAGAAAGGGCAGTTAAATTCAGTTACCTGCATTTGAAGGCAGGTCAAGGTCCCTGGGTTCCAGATATATCCTGGGTCACAGCAAAGAATATTAGTGATGATGAGCAAACTAAGTAGGAATGACAGGGTTCTGCAGCTGCCCACGCCTGCGCAGTGAAGGGGACTCGCGGGGGAGCCAGCGCGTCCCAGGCCCAGCTTTTTCGCAGGGTCTCCAGTTTCGCGGCCCCTCCCTTCCGCGTCCCCCACCCCCACGCGCCTCCGTGCGCCAGTCTGAGCCTCATGCGGCGCCTGGACTATGGGGAGGTGGGTGGTCGCGGCTGCAGTGCCAAGTAGGGCTGGTTGGCTCGGTGCTCGTTGGGTGCAGGGCAGCGAACTGGAGGAAGAAAGTGGACGTTGGTGAGAACCGCAGTTTCAGCCATGCGAAGGCCCCCGATCAAAAAGACAGATTTGTTGCTAGGTGATTCATCGGTGCCATTCTTTGCCATTCTTTGTGTATCTACAGCTCATGATGAGAGAGGACCGCATGATGAAGGCCTACAGCGCAGAGCCGGAGCCGGAGCCAGAGCGAGCCGCATGAGCCTCACCTGCAGCTTGACTGAAACAGCATCTTGCAGCTCTGAAGCTCCAGGCCTAGAGTCGCTCTCTCCACCTTTTCCTTGTCTCACTTGCCCAACTCTCGGCAGGCGACCCCCTGGCCCAAACTCAACCATCTGGGGCCACTTGGGACCTTGGCCAAGTTTCTGCAACAAACACATGATTTAAAAAAAAAAAAAAAAAAAAGAGGGTGACGGGGTGGGGGACAAGTTTTACCTTGAATTTTCTCTAAAAGCCCAGGTGGCTTTGGGAGGTGTGGAAGGGGGAAATCCCCTCAACCAAAACCCAACTATTATCTACCCAGTCATCTAACACTTATTGTGCTAGTTATCAATTTACTGTCTGTCAGCTCTGAATTCATCCCTCAATACCTGCTTTTAAATGGATGGAATTCCTTTAAGCATTTCCTTTTTAGAGTACTAAGAACAATGCTTTCTCAGTAGATGGTGCTGGAAGGATACTCCAGGATGAAGGGGGATTTTCTTGCTGGTTCCAGTGGCTGCACCATAGGTCAGCAGTATAGATGAGAGGAAATTTGGTGGTGACCTGCCCCAGCCAAACCCTGGCCTGGTGGTCACTTTCCACAGGGATGCCACACTCCAGGCCCCCTACCCCTCTGGTGCCTCGACTCCCTCTGCACATCTGCATGTCTGGTCACCAGCTGTGTGTTCCCTGCTTGCAAAGGGACTGCATACCTGCACTGGCCTAGGCAAATCACCAAACTTCTCTGCTCTCCCCTGGACTGCAACTCTACATTCTCCAGTAGGGTGTGCACCTCAGTTTTGAGGAAATGGCAGTGGCCTTCCTTCCAAGTATGTCCTTTCTTGGATAATCTCCTTCAGCTCTAGGAAACTGAATTTTGTCTTATATCTTTTATTTTATTTTTTTTTAAAGGAGTTTTGTTCTTATTGCACAGGCTGGAGTGCAATGATACGATCTTGGCTCACTGCAACCTCCACCTCCCCAGGTCAAGCGATTCTTCTGCTCAGCTGGGATTACAGGTGACTACCACTATGCCCAGCCATTTTTTCTTCGTATTTTTAAGAGATGGGGTTTCAGCATACTGGCCAGACTGGTCTCGAGCTGCTGACCTCAGGCGATCCACCCACCTCAGCCTCCCAAAGTGCTGGGATTACATGCATGACCCACCGCGCCCAGCCTATAGCTTGATATTCTTTGTATTATCCTTTCCTTGTAAAAAAAAAAACTAAACAAAAAAAGTGTGATTTTTATCTTCTGATAGGACCCAGACTGATACACTTGATAGACATCACTTGTATCACTGGGTATGGTGGCTCACGCCTGTAATCCCAGAACGTTGGGAGGCTGAGGCGGACAGATCGCGGACAGATCACATGAGGCCAGAAGTTCAAGACCAGCCTAGTCAACATAGTGAAACCCCATCTCTACTAAAAGTACAAAAATTAGCTGGGTGTGGTGGTCTACACCTGTAGTCTCAGCTACTTGGGAGACTAAACCAAGAGAATCGCTTGAACCTGGGAGGCGGAGGTTCCAGTGAGCTGAGATCACACCATTGCACTCCATCCTGGGTAACAAGAGCGAAGCTCCGTCCCAAAAAAAAAAAGAAAAAAAATGCATAACAAGAGAGGCAAAAATGCATATAACAAGAGGCAAGGCTTTTAGGTAGGTAGGGCAGTTTTTAAAAAAACTAGTTATCAGTGGGAAACAAAACAAATAATTTATCAAGTATGAAAAGCAATGCACAAAAGTTTTTTCTTTTAATCTACATAATAAACACATACGGCTCTTCTCTTACGTATAAGACTCTAAGAACAGAGTCTCATATGAGTATAAGGGTCTCATACAAGTCACAACAGGCACTGAGTAGCCAAGTCAGGATTTAAAGCTGATTTTGTGGTCACAGGAAGGACAAAAAGTAATGAGCCCATAATTTCATGTACATTCAGAATTTTTATTTTAAAACAAAGAATCAGAGTAACATTAGTAATAGAAAATCCATATGGAAATATTCACAATCTTCTCAGTGAAAAAGGGGACCCTACCTTACTGCCGACCTACTGTTTGAGGAACCAGAAGTTGACGTGAAATTGCAAGGTCACCTTTTCAAGCTAAACCCCACTCCATAGCTATGTCCTTTTTTTTTTTTTTTTTCCTTGAGATGGAGTCTTGCACTGTGGCCTGGGCTAGGGTGCAATGACGCGATCTGCAACCTCTGCGTCCCGGGTTCACGTGATTCTCCTGCCTCAGCCTCCCGAGTAGCTGGGATTACAGGCGCCCGCCACCACGCCCAGTTAATTTTTGCATTTTTAGTAGAGACAGGGTTTCACTATGTTGGCCAGATTGCTCTCGAATCCCTGACCGCCCGCCTCGGCCTCCCAAAGTGCTGGGATTACAGGCGAGAGCCACCGCACCCGGCCTCAGCTGTGTGTTTATATTCAAAGGCTCCACAGGAACAGTGAGAACTGAAAACCAAAATACTGTCACTGGCAAGGGTTTGGCTAATGGTTCTGAGATGTGTAAGCACCAAGAAGGGAAAGGGAGATTGAGCAACATATGAAAATGGGGCTGTAGGAACAAACACAGAGAAAATAAGTCACCAATAATGTACTTCCACCCAGAGCAAAGTGACAGTGCACATACATTCATCCTCAAGTGTGGCTACACTGCACATTGACTCATGCTCTCAAACGTGGTTTATTGGAAAGATTCAGGCCCCCTAAGGGCACTCGGCATCAGACCACAGTGACATGGTAACAGACATACGCAAGCGTGCCGTGACCCTAAAGCAACAACACACTTTAGATAATAATCACTCAGAAAAAAATCCTCTCCCAGAGCTGAGGTTACACATTCCAAGTTTGCTATAAATATTCTTTGGGGAATTCCTTTAAAGGTATGAGTTAAAATAAAACAGAAAATCAACACCTAAAATATCCTAAAGAACAAAGTGGAGAAACAATGAATCTCTACCAAGAACCAATTATTTGTGGTTTCTCATTTGGATGGCTCTCCCACAAGATAGGTGGCAGGATTACTTCAAAAGTCATGAGACTACTACAAGAAGGAGTTATTTCGTCCAGTGAGGGGAACAGCCTTTCTAGAAATCACTTTCCCTTCCCTCAACTCCATCCAAAATTAGAACCCATCAACTGCCATTAACTGCAATGCCCATATTAGTTAATAATCCTAGACTTCAAGTACTACTACATGTAAACTATTATCTTAAAGAAAAAAATTCTAAAGGAAATCAGTAGCTTTATTATATAAGCCTATGACTTTTATGAAAAATTAAACTTCAAGAGTTTCCATCTGAAGGACAAAAATTGTTAAGAGGTAAACTACAGCCCTCAGGCACCACATCATTTACCCTCCAATAATGAACTACATTTCTCCCTAAATTCTTCTTATTGCACCTGAACCTCTCCAGCATCAAATCTTTTACTCTATAACCTCTCTTTAAACACCTCCCTCTAATCTCAATTTCCTTCTGTTTTAATTATTTGGTAAAATTATGCTTAAAAAAATAAATATTTCCACCATGGCACATATATACCTATGTAACAAACCTGCACATTCTGCACATGTATCCTGGAGCTTAATGTAAAAAACAATTATGTAATTAAACCAGAGGATAAAATAAATAAAACTCAAGTTTACTTGCTGTGTAGAGCTGTGTGGAAGTGAGGAAGGTGCTCTTACATAAACCCCCTCTGCCTTCCACACTCATATGTGCATCTGCTTCCTGTTAAGTCTGAGGTTGGGGGAACTGCACCTTACTTTTCCTCTCCTATATATATCCCCTAATGTGGCAATATTAGAACCCAAGGGAGGAAAAGCTGGCAAAGTTGTCATATGCCAAGTGGCCAATCCCTCCTGAAATGAAGGTAGGTTCACTCGGTCTCTCCTAAGCAGAAGAGAATGTCCAGGAAATAAAATCTTTAGAAAGCCATTGAAAATCCAACAAACCCCAGCCTTGGGGTGCTCATGGAGTGCGTGGGATGAGAAAGGAATCAAGTAGCAGCATTCAGAAGCAATCCTGGGTTCATCCTGATGAGGTGTCTCCCTTGTTCAGGGAGAGATGGCTTTCCCATGCTGGGAGGGAGGTGGAAGCGGGCATGACTTAGACATTGGTGGTGGTCTCCTTAGGAGGCTGGATGCTGTTCATCTCCATGACGCCGTCCTTCCCAGATCTATCTGCACCATGTGCCTGCCCTTCAAAGGCCCGTGTGATATCCTCAAAAGTCCTGCCACGGGTCTCAGGGACTTTGAAGAAGGTAAAGGCCAAGAAGGTAATGAGGAAGCCGGTGAAGATAATAAAAACGTAGGCTCCTAAATAGTGCTAGTGAAAGGACACAAAAAAGGAAGGTTGATATAAAAATCTGGTCATTGACAAACTCAATTTCCTTCACATTCATATTTCCAGTGGGCTTCAAGCTATAACCCTTCCATATTTAATGGAACAGGTTTCTTCAGTGATTCACTTAAGATTCTGTTGCTAACTTACTATAGTTCTCTGTAGTTTTCTTTTTGTTATTCCTTTTCAATACAGTTAGATGCTTCCAAATGTCTACTGAGTATTTTTGGACTTTTGAGTATTATTTTTAAAATCTGTGTTTCTGGGCCGAGTGCGGCGGCTCAAGCCTGTAATCCCAGCACTTTGGGAAGTCAAGGTGGGAGGATCACCGGAACCCAGCAGTTTGAGACCAGCCTGGGCAACACAACAAGACTCCATCTCTTTTTGCAGTTTTTTTTTGTTTTGAAATGGGGTCTCGCTCTGTCACCCAGGGTAGAGAGCAGAAGCGTGATCACAGCTCACAATGAACTCTACCTCCTGGGTTCAAGTGATTCTCTTGCCTCAGTCTCCTGAGTAGCTAGGCCTACAGGTGTGTGCTACAATGCCTGGCTTTTTTTTTCTTTGAGACAGTTTCTCTCATGTTGCCCAGGCTGGAGTGCAATGGCATGATCTTGCTCACTGAGATTACAGTGAGCCATGACTCAAGGCCTAATTTTTGTATTTATTGTAGAAACAGGGTTTCACCATGATAGTCAGGCTGGTCCCCAACTCCTGACCTCAAGTTATCCACCCGCCTTGGCCTCTCAAAGTGCTGGGATTACAGGCTTGAGCCACTGCGTCCGGCCGTGATTTAAAACTTACGAATTGTTTATTTCTGGAATTTTCCATTTAATATTTTTAGACTGCAGGTAACTGAAACCGCAGATGAGGAGGGACTATGGTATTATTTATTTGTTGATTTATTGAGGGATGAAGTCTTGCTCCCATCGAGCAGGCTGGAGTGCAGTAGTGTGATCTCGGCACGCTGCAACCTCCACCTCCCAGGTTTAAGCGATTCTCCTTCCTCGGTCTCCCAAATAGCTGGAATTACAGGCGTGTGCCACCATGCCCAGCTAATTTTTGAGTTTTTAGTAGAGACAGGAGTTTCACCATTTTGGCCAGGCTGATCTCGAACTCCTGACCTCAGGTGATCCACCTGCCTCAGCCTCTCAAAGTGCTAGGATTACAGGCGTGAACCACAATGTCAGGCCCAGACTACTCTATTATTAAGGAGTATCTTCAACATGTCAGCTTGCATAGGCTGGTTTTAAGATAAGGTGAGTTTACTTACAGCAGCAGAGGGGAAGAGCAATCCGACTAGGAAGTTGGAGGTCCAGTTGGAACAGCCGGCCACTGCCATCGCAGCTGGGCGGGGGCCCTGGCTGAAGAGTTCGGCCACAATAAACCAGGGAATGGGGCCTGGTCCAATTTCAAAGAAGGCTACAAAGACCAGGATAGCGCCAATACAGACAAAGCTCATCCCATTATAGTTATCCTGTAAGAGGAAAGAACAGAGAAAATACAATTTAAAGACAGTGTAACCTAGGATCTAGGTTCCCAGAGGCAATTAACGGCAAGATCCTCCTGTCCCTGATGCACAATACAAAGAGTGGCTGTGGAATCAATAGGCTTGGATTTATTTTTATTATTTTTAGAGACAGGGTCTTACTGTGCTGCCCAGGCTGGAGTGCAGTGGCACTACAATACCTCGCTGCATCATCCATCTCCTGGGCTTAAGCAATCCTCCCACCTCAGCCTCTCAAATCGCTTGGACTTGAAGCATGTGCCACCACACCTGGCTAATTAAAATTTTTTTAGCCGGGCGCTGTGGCTCACACCAAGGCAGGTGGATTATTTGAGGTCAAGAGTTGGAGACCAGCCTGGCTAACATGGTGAAACCCTGTCTCTACTAAAAAGTACAAAAATTAGCTGGGCATGGTGGTGCATGCCTGTAATCCCAGCTTCCTGGGAGGCTGAGGCATAGGAAACGCTTAAGCCCAGGAGGCGGAGGTTGCAGTGAGCTGAGATCGTGCCACTGCACTTCAGCCTGTTGACACAGTGAAACCCTGTCACAAAAAAACAAAACCAAAACAAAACAAATTTTCGTTTTTTTTATAGAGACAGTTTCTTGCCATGTTGCCTAGGCTGGTCTTGATCTTATGGCCTCAAGCAATCCTCTAACCTTGGCCTTCCAAAGTTGCAGATGACAGGCATGAACCACTGCACCCAGCCAGGCTTGGAATTTTTTTTTTTTTTTTTGAGAGGGAGTTTCGCTCTTGTTGCCCAGGCCAGAGTGCAATGGCGCCATCTTGACTCACTGCAACCTCTGCCTCCTGGGTTCAAGTGATTCTCCTGCCTCAGCCTCCTGAGTAGCTGGCATTAGAGGCACGCAACACCACTCCCGGCTAATTTTGTATTTTTAGTAGAGACGGGGTTTCTCCATGTTGGTCAGGCTGTTCTTGAACTCCCAACCTCAGGTGATCCACCCACCTCAGCCTCCCAAAGTGCTGGGATTACAGGCATGAGCCACCGTGTCCCACCAAGGCTTGGATTTTTGAATCCCATCTATGTGATCTCATGTATGTCACTTTGTATTGAGACCATGTCATCATCTATTAAGTGTGATTACCTTGATATTATTTTAAGAATTAAACTAGATAATTTATTTAAGCTATAAGAATGTTCTATAAATGTAAGGATTCTAATCGTTTACCTCCAGTTCTCTGAAGACCCACATTTCTTTTTTTTTTTTTTTTTTTTTTTTTTGAGACGGAGTCTCGCTCTGCCGCCCAGGCTGGAGTGCAGTGGCCGGATCTCAGCTCACTGCAAGCTCCGCCTCCCGGGTTCACGCCATTCTCCTGCCTCAGCCTCCCAAGTAGCTGGGACTACAGGCGCCCGCCACCGCGCCCGGCCAGTTTTTTGTATTTTTTAGTAGAGACGGGGTTTCACCGTGTTAGCCAGGATGGTCTCGATCTCCTGACCTCGTGATCCGCCCGTCTCGGCCTCCCAAAGTGCTGGGATTACAGGCTTGAGCCACCGCGCCCGGCCTTAGACCCACATTTCTTAAAAACTCTGGGCATCCTGCTTCTCTCCTTTGACTTTGTTGACAAACTGCAACCTTAACAACCCACCCCTTGTGTCACAGAAGTCAACTGTAACCTCTCCTCCTTTCCCCCTCCCTCGCTTTTCTTCACTCAAAGAGCACTCACCTTTAATGACAAAGAAACAGTCATAAGCGTGGAACAAACAGCCATCCCTCCAAGGCCTATCATATGCAGAGTCCTTCTTCCTGCCCTTTCCACCAGAAATAGCTGGAAGAAGAATGTGACATGAAACTTCAGTTTTCCTTTCCATGAAAACAGTGTCTGAGCTACTTGGAATCTGCCTTACCAACAGCAGGACACTTGTTACGGATACACCTCCTGTGATTTATGATTTTATATACGTACATATTGTGTTCCATTCACAGGTCCTGGCTCAAAATCCCCCTAGCCCTTGGTAGAGTCTTTTATCATAATGTTGGGATGCCGCAGGCCTCAGAAAATAGAATTCTTCTCTGACTTTCTCCTGCCCTCCCACTTGGCAGGACGCTAATCTGACTGCGGGTCATAAAACCCTCATTTCAGAGAGGGTCCTGCCCCATCCCCTAGAGGAAGAAATGCTATAGAGAGGCCAAAATAATCCAAACAGACAGGCCTGGCTGGGTTCAGATCATTCCCTTTTTGTCCAATCACATTTCAAAACAGTTGTCCATGCTTCAATCATGGAGAATCAATTAAGTCTGCATAAAAGGCCCAAAAGGCAGGGTGTGGGGAGCTTCCAGATATCTGAACCCATGGAAGCTGACAGGAAGGTCAGCAACAAATCATCTATGCACTAGGAGTGCACCCCAACTCCACGGAGACAGAGGCTCCCACGCTCAGGGTCCCTCCAGACCTTGCCCTGTGAATCAATTTGGTTGTTTATTTCTGTGCTTTAAAATATCCTTTAAAATCAAACTAGGAGGCCGGACGTGGTGGCTCAAGCCTGTAATCCCAGCACTTTGGGAGGCTGAGGCGGGTGGATCACGAGGTCAGGAGATCGAGACCATCCTGGCTAACACGGTGAAACCCCGTCTCTACTAAAAAAATACAAAAAACTAGCCGGGCGAGGTGGCGGGCACCTGTAGTCCCAGCTACTCGGGAGGCTGAGGCAGGAGAATGGCGTAAACCCGGGAGGCGGAGCTTGCAGTGAGCCGAGATCCGACCACTGCACTCCAGCCTGGGCAACAGAGCGAGACTCCGTCTCAACAAAAAAAACAACAACAAAAAAAACAAACAAAAAAAATCAAACTAGGAAACATTTTCCCTGAGTTCTGTAAGCCACTGTAGCCAATTAATCCAACCCAAAGAGGGCGTGGTGGGAATCCCGATCTATAGCTGGTGGGTCAGAAGCACAGGTAAAACAACCTGGAGCCTGTGATGGGCATCAGGAGTGGAGGGCAGTCTTGGGAACTGTGCCACCAACCTGTGAGATCTGATGCTATCTCCAGGTAAATCGTGTCAGAATTAAATCGCAGGACACCTAGATGGTGTCCACTACAGAACTGATTGCCTACCTAATGGGGAAAAATCTTCACACATTCTGGGGGTCACAGACATCTTCTGTTGATTATTGTTTCTTTAGTTTAAGAACAGTGGAATCACAGAGTTGAGAGCTTTTCCAAACACCTCTCCTCCAATTCCAAGTTTAAAGCATACTATAGTTAGTCCCTTCTATACTTCCTCCTTTCCCATCCATCCACATTTGCTTGAAGAGTGAAGACTACATCCAACATTAAATGTATCTTTTTCCCAAAGGAAAATTAAACAGAAAGGTAACTAAATGATAGTAGGGTCACTCAATCCATCTTTGAACATCTGTAGCAAGGATTCTTTTCCCCCCACAAAATTATCAAACCATCCAACTTACAGAAACTACAGTGAAGATTGTATTAACCACACCCGCGCCGATGGTGGCATAGATGGGCTCTTGAACACCTGCATCCTTGAAGATTCCTGTTGAGTAGTAGAACACCTAGTAGAAAAGAAAACATGCAACTTTGATACAATTCTGCATACGAGTTACACAGAACCCTCAAAAGTAAACTTATTTTTTTTCTAGGGTTTTTGTTCAATACTCATATCCCTTCTGCAAATGAATTATCTTCTGTATCTTATCTCCTTTCTCTTTTTTCTGAGAGGGAGTCTCAAACTGTCACCTAGGCAGGAGTGCAGTGGCACAATCTCGGCTCACTGTTATTCTACCTCCCAGATGAAAGCGATTCTCCTGCCTCAGCCTCCTGAGTAGCTGGACTACAGGTGCCTGCAACCACTCCCAGCTAATTTTTGTAGTTTAAGTAGAGACGGGTTTTCGACATGTTGGCCAGGCTGGTCTCAAACTCCTGTCCTCAAGTGACCTGCTGGCCTTGGCCTCCCAAAATGCTGGGATTACAACTACCCCAGTTACAACTACCATATATACATATATATATACCCCAGTTACAACTACCAACTATGCTACAACTATCATAGTTAAGAGATATTAAAATATTGGACTCAGACCTCAAGTTAATAAGGGAACATTATCTAGGTTACCCAGGTTCGCTTCAGTTTATTTCACCTAGAGTATTTGCCTCCATAGCAATATTAGTCTTTTTGATGAATGTGGACCTCTACATTGGGATTTACCTTCTCAAGAAGCAACTCTTTAAATCCCTAGTACAAGGCCGGGCGCCGTGGCTCAAGCCTGTAATCCCAGCACTTTGGGAGGCCGAGACGGGCGGATCACGAGGCCAGGAGATCGAGACCATCCTGGCTAACACAGTGAAACCCCATCTCTACTAAAAAAATACAAAAAACTAGCCGGGCGAGGTGGCGGGCGCCTGTAGTCCCAGCTACTCGGGAGGCTGAGGCAGGAGAATGGCGGGAACCCGGGAGGTGGAGCTTGCAGTGAGCTGAGATCCGGCCACTGTACTCCAGCCCGGCGACAGAGTGAGACTCCGTCTCAAAAAAAAAAAAAAAAAAAAACAAAAAACAAAAAACTAGCCGGGCGAGGTGGCGGGCGCCTGTAGTCCCAGCTACTCGGGAGGCTGAGGCAGGAGAATGGCGTAAACCTGGGAGGCAGAGCTTGTAGTGAGCTGAGATCCGGCCACTGCACTCCAGCCTGGGCGATAGAGCGAGACTCCATCTCAAAAAATAAATAAATAAATAAATAAATAAATAAATAAATAAATAAATCCCTAGTACATAAGATAAACTATATTTATATTTTCTAAAATAAGATTATAACTATTTTTTGAAACAGATTTGTAGAGTCATTATTGAAAACCCTGCTGCTCTAGGGCTAATTAAGACTGTTAAAAAATCTCAACATATTATATGATGACATCAAGCTTGTGGGGAAAGATATTAGGCTAGCACAAAAGTAATTACTTGAGCAGTTTAAACAAGTAACAAATAGGTATGCCAATTCTCTTCCTTAACATAATGTCTACATGTCAAAAACCTAATGTACATGTACACATCTCAATAAAACTTCTTACAGTAAAATGACTTTGCGATCTAGTGTCACCAAGCAAGATAAGCTAACCCCTATGTCATCTTACCTAAACAGTTTACTCTGCTAGGTAAACATGATACAATGCAACCTGTTACCCATTTGCCCATAAGGGAAATTAGAAATCATCGTTTGTGCAAAAGTAGGTTGGAAAAGCGATTTCCAAGCCTGCTGTGCATCAGATTTTTTTTTACAGACAATTTTCAGGCCTCTTACACAGAGATTCTCAAATTCAGCTGACTCAGGAATCCCAACACCCATAATTCTGGTGCAGCTAGCTTTGGGTGAGATTATACCTGGAGCAAAGTCTACTCATTGACTAAGTTGGGAGCCAGCTTCGTCCAACAATAATTAACATACATGCTGGGCATGGTGGCTCACACCTGTAAGGCCAGCACTTTAGGAGGCCGAGGTGGGCGGATCACCTGAGGTCAGGAGTTTGAGACCAGCCTGGCCAACATGGTGATATCCCGTCTCTACTAAAAATACAAAAAAACTAGCTAGGTATGGTGGTGTGCTCCTGTAATCCCAGCTACTAGGGAGGCTGAGGCAGGAGAATCGCTTGAACCCGGGAGGTGCTTTCAGTGAGCCGAGACTGTGCCACTGTACTACAGCCTGGGTGACAGAGTGAGACTCAAAAAAAAAGAAAAAGAATGTACACACCGTACTCTGAAGTGGCAGTTGTCTGTCCCTCAGAGTGCTCATTAATCATTTGTAATTTCCCACAGGTGATCTTTTCCTGATCCTGTTTTGCAGGGCCAGAACTGTGGTGAGGCAACTAGGGAGTTGCCTCAGGTGCATTCTTTTATTTGTTCTTTTTTTAAACAGGCACAGAACTAATGCAAGGTACATTCTTTAAAGAGGTGCTCATTCTCAGGGCTACACTTGCACGTAGCTGCCTCACCTCCCGAGTCTCAGCTCTGCTGCTCTGGAAGGTCTCGGGAGCACATTTTTCTCCAGCAATACATGTGGCCTACATTAGCATTTCCAAATGAGGAATTTGAAACTGGGATTCAACAAAATCACCAATCACCTAGGAGGCTTTTTCTAACTACTGTGTATTTCCTCCCAAGTGGTTTTTTTTTTTTTTTTTTAAAGACAGGCTCATACTATATTGCCCAGGCTTGACTCCTGAGCCTAAGTGATATTCCCACCTCAGCCTCCCGAGTAGTAGGTGGGATTACAGGCATGAGCAGCCACCACACCTGGCTCCTCAGATTCTGACAAAACAGCCTCTAACCCCTCCCAGGAAGCACTGCCACTTCAAATACAAATACCCTGGTGTGCTAGCTAGGAGAAAAGTTCAGGAACCAACTTACTATTTTGAGCATCAAAACGCTCTATTACATGCAAAATGCTTTGTTACAAAATAACTTAATCCCATTGATCAAAGACTATCTGAAAACCCTTAGGGGATGAATCAGTATTTTAAAAGGTGGGACAAGGGTGCTCTTAATAGCCATATTGACTAGAAGGCACAGGAATATTCTCTTCCTACAATCCAGTCAAACGCAGGAAGCCGATATTTGCATGGAATACAAGGGCTATCTGCCAAATGCTAGCTTCCGTTTTGCTGCCCTCTTTAAACTATCATGCTCACTATTCTTGTTGTAAAAACATAGACTGGTAAAGTCAGTTCACTCTGAAGTCGCCAGTGTCCTTCCAGGGTCTTTTTTTCCCTATTTCAGAGACAGAGTCTCACTCTGTCTCCCAGGCTGGAATGCAGTGGCATAATTATAGCTCACTGCAGCCTGCAACTCCTGAGCTCAAGTGATCCTTTTATCCGTCTCCTGAGTAGCTGGGACTACAGGCACAGCGCCACCATGCCCGGCATTTTAAGTGAAATACTGTAAGACATGTTTGACCCTAAAGTATCATACTCACAGCATTGATGCCAGAGAGCTGCTGAGAGAGCTGGAGCACAATGGAAATGATGATGGGCTGTCGGTAGCTGGACACTCTAAAGAGCTCCAGCACGGTGACTTGCTTTTCTTGTGACATCCTTGCACTCTCATCTTTCATCTCCTGGATGTCTTGAGATACATCCTGGGTGCCCCACAACCGCTGGAGGACTGGTGAAAAGAAGAAAGAGGAAAGGATAAAGACAATGTGCTGCCCCAAATTCATTCTTCCTGTAAGGCAGCCAGGAAAGGGCCGCATGAGATGAGGTGATCGATAGCATCCCTTCCTTTTTTTTTTTTTGAAACGGAGTTTCACTCTTGTTGCCCAGGCTGGAGTGCAATGGCATGATCTCGGCTCAAGCAACTTCCGCCTCCCGGGTTCACGCAATTCTCCGGCCTCAGTCTGGCGAGTAGCTGGGATTACAGGCATGCACCACCATTCCCGGCTAATTTTGTATTTTTAGTAGAGATGGGGTTTCGCCATGTTGTTCAGGCAGGTCTTGAATTCCTGACCTCAGGTGACCTGCCTTGGCCTCTTAAAGTGCTGGATTACAGGCATGACCCATCATGCCCGGCCTGATAGCATCCATTCCTAAACCTGCCTTTTCATCTCATTCATTAGGGGCTGAAAATTTTCCTCAGGAGTAATCAGAACCCTCCTCACTTGGATTCTGAGGGGCAGGGAAAGAGTGTAACAGAAAATATAGGTCCAGTACCCTCATCCTTCAAACAAACCACAACCATATAATTCACATTATATTCACATGAAGGTGTGAAGGATACTCACTCTGCTTAGCATTCTCCTCTTCTTTTCTGTTAATGAGCAAAAATCTGGGACTTTCAGGGCAAAATGGAAGGGTTGCACTTTGTAGGATAGCAGGAAGGATGGTGAAGCCCAATAGCAACGGCCAGAGCTCTTCAGACCCAAGGATGAATTCCAGACCAAAGATCTAGAAACCACACAAAGATAATGCTATAAACCCCATACCTCATAGGCCACAAGTTCATTAAAAAACAAAAAGTTCAGAAAATCATACATTCTTTTACTATGGGAAAAAAATCAACAAATTGTGTTTCTTTTCCTTTCTCTACTCAGCCTGCTTCTTGAGCTACTATGAGTTATAGTAACAATATCTAAAACTTCCACATATAATTGAACATGTGCCAGATATCCTTCAGTGCTTTATCTATGTTAACTTTTTTAATGACCCATGAAACTAACACTCATCAGGTATGAGAAGTTCTAGAGTACCTGGGCCACCAGAATTCCAATTACGATGCCCAGCTGGTTGAGAGTGCCAAAGGCACCCCGCAGGGCAGTAGGCGAGATCTCTCCGATGTACATGGGCACAAACCCTGTGCAGAGTCCGCAGAAGAGGCCAATAACCAAGCGGCCCAGGATCAGCATTTCAACTGACTTCGCTACTTTACACAGTCCCATAAGGCAACCACCAGTGACAGCCAACAGGTTGACAATCAGCATTGAATTACGCCTGTAAGGTTAATCAAAGACAAAATGCAATTAGCAAAGTGAGAGGCTCCTAACCTCTCTTCTGTCCTCATTATTCTGCTCTTCTCCAGGCTCCTATCCTCTCCTTTTTTTGATCTAACTTTTCTTTTTCACTTTCTATTATCAGAACATTTCTAGTTGGGAACCAGGCATGACCGTGCCCGCCTATAGTCCCCGGCTCTCAGTGAGCTGAGGTGGGAGGTTGAGGCTGTAGTGAGCTATGATTGAGCTATTACACTCCAGCCTGGGTGACAGAGCAAGACCCCCTTTCTTGGGGGGTTAAAAAAAAAAAAAAGAACATAATCAAGTAAAATAGGTTGCCTTATCCATTTTTAAATGTGAATTCCAATTGCATTTCTAGAATATCCAATTAGCAATTTTTTTTTTTTGAGATGCAGTGTTGGTCTGTCACCCAGGCTAGAGTGCAGCGGCGGGATCTCGGCTCACTGCAACCTCCGCCTCCCGGGCTCAAGAGATTCTCCTGCCTCAGCCTCCCGAGCAGCTGGGATTACAGGCGCCCACGACCACGCCTGGTTAATTTCTTGTATTTTTAGTAGAGACAGGGGTTTCACCGTGTTAGCCAGGATGGTCTTGACCTCCTGACTTAAAGTGCTGGGATTACAGGGGTGAGCCACTGCACTGGCTTTTTTTTTTTTTTTTGAGATGGAGTTTCACTCTTTCACCCAGGCTGGTGTGAAGTGGCCAGATCTCAGCTTACTGCAACCTCTGCACCACCCCCGAGGTTCAAGCGATTTTTCTGCCTCAGCCTCTGGAGTAGCTGACATGATAAGTGCCTGTCACTACGCCTGACTAATTTTTGTATTTTTAGTAGAGACGGGGTTTCGCCATGTTGGCCAGGCCGGTCTCGAACTCCTGACCTCAGCTGATCCACTTGCCTCGGCTTCCCTAAGTGCTGGGATTACAGGCGTGAGCCACTGCACCCGGCCTAATTGCCTAAATGAAAATATATTTCATAACTGAAAATATATTCTACCTTCTAAAACATATTGTTAAGCTCCTATAGAATAAGATTCTTTTTACCATTATCCACATTTGCCATAGACTAAGAATTACAAAAATAATTCCTACCTATCCTGTGTAAAATAATAGAAACATTTATATGAAACCCCAATTTTTTTTTTTTTTTTTTTTTTTTTTTTTTTTTTGAGACCGAGTCTCGCTCTGTCGCCCAGGCTAGAGTGCAGTGGCACAATCTCGGCTCACTGCAAGCTCCAACTCCCGGGTTCACGCCATTCTCCGGCCTCAGCCTCCCGATTAGCTGGGACTACAGGCGCCCGCCACTGTGCCCGGCTAATTTTTTCTATTTTTAGTAGAGACGGGGTTTCACCATGGTCTCGATCTCCTGACCTTGTGATCCGCCCGCCTCGGCCTCCCAAAGTGCTGGGATTACAGGCGTGAGCCACCGCGCCCGGCCAAAACCCCAATTTTTTAAATAAAAGTAAACAACTTCATACCTTGTAAATTATGTTTCTGGAAACCCCACAGTTGAGCTTACCTAGGGAACAATTCTGAACTAGCCCTAGCTGGACTGCAAAGGCCAATCACTCACACAGTTCATCTCTTGAGCAGCTGGGCGGGAGCTATGGAGGGTAGTAGAGCTCCAGGCAAGGGCAGTCATATTCGGGGCCAGTTGGACTAGGTTTCCCTTGATTAGAATTCAAGGTGTTCTTATTCAAAGGCATCATCATCTCCCTGCCCTAACTCTCCACACTTGTCCTCAGTGCAGCTGTAGAGCCCACTTCCTTGCCCAGTTTTTTTTTTTTTTTTTTTTTGAGAGGGAGTCTGGCTTTGTCGCCCAGGCTGGAGTGCAGTGGCCGGATCTCAGCTCACTGCAAGCTCCGCCTCCCGGGTTTACGCCATTCTCCTGCTTCAGCCTCCCGAGTAGCTGGGACTACAGGCGCCCACCACCTCGCCCGGCTAGTTTTTTGTATTTTTTAGTAGAGACGGGGTTTCACCATATTAGCCAGGATGGTCTCGATCTCCTGACCTCGTGATCCGCCCGTCTCGGCCTCCCAAAGTGCTGGGATTACAGGCTTGAGCCACCGCGCCCGGCCCTTGCCCAGTTTCTAGTCAATACCTGCCAAAGCGGTTGACGAAGAGTCCGACAGAAAAGGAGCCGATCATACCCCCGACGGAGAATATGGCCACAGACAAGGACCAGAGAGACGTGAGCAGCACCTCAGAGGGAGGGATATTTGCCTTCTCCGTCAGACTTTTATTGATAAATTCCTTTATGATCTGCAAAATAAAAGCGTTGGTGGTAGAACAGACTGTTACAGTTGGATGAGAAAAAAAGACAAATATTAGGGATCATTTCCTTCCTAGAGAATCAAGGGAATAAATAGACGGGAATGGAAGAGGCAGATAACATATTGGAATTAATGTTAACTCTCCCTGGAATAGTAATTTTTTAATTTGTCCTGAAAATCCCAGTAGGTGGCAGCACCGATGTTCAGTCTACCCCAGCCCCATGCTAAGGGAACCCAGCTTCTTTGTACCTAACCCCTAAGGGATAATACAGGAAGTCTATCACTATGGGTGAAAGAGTGGGAGGAAGAACAGCACCGCCCAGGGTTCAGGAAGTAAGTGAGCTTTCTGCTTTGATTAAACGACCCCACTAATTTTCCCCACCAATATTGTCTCCATCTTCAGTCTTGGACAGGATAGATACAAAGTTTGTCTTAAAATCCCCTAGTTTGGGGAGGAACCCTCACTAACTGTGTTGCCCAGGATGGTGTTTAACTCCTGGGCTCAAGTGATCTTTAGGCTTCAGCCTCCGGAGTAGCTGGGACTCCAGACAGGTGCCACCGTGCCTGGCCTTAAATTCTGATTTCTTGAAACTCTACTTAAAGGAGTAACTTCCCTATTCCAGATTCTAATTCTTGTGGCCTGGCACTCACCTTCTCAGGAGCATTGATGACCCCAGTGTTGTACCCAAACTGGAAAGAGCCAATTGTAGCAACTGTGATGGCAAAGATCAGAGCTGGGGTGACCTGGAGGGAGGGAAGACAGGGAGGAGAGAGTGGTCCTTAAAACTTGTGATTGGTGACTGTTTCTTATTAATTATGGAGCTGTATTAGGAGAACTTGACCTATGAGTGGTATGAAAAGGGCAAACATCACATGAGATTTAGGTAATTAATGGGGAAGACAAAGGAATAGATTATACTAAAGAACTTATCTGGAGATAAGAATGTGAAGTTAACTTGGTGAAAGTGGAAAGAAAATTGGGGAAGGAAGAAGTTAAGAGAAACTGGGTTGGTCAGTTTGGAAATATTTAAAAACTTGCATCAGGTAAAAAGGTAGGCACAGAATTCCACTCAAGAACTGGGAGGGCAGAGGACAACACAGCGTTGGGTAGGATCACTAAGAACTGATCATTTCGGAAACAAACACAGTGCAGTCTGATCTGTACCCAGACCCCACAGAAGCCCAGTTGTGGTGGTGGGGGAGGGCACGGTAGTTTGTATCTTCACTGCTGGGCAGCTCTTTGAGTCTGTATCTCTCTGGACCATGTAAGCTACTGGATCTACCCACTGCATCCTGGCCCCATTTCAGTCTTCGTGTATTAAATACAGTTCTGCTATCTCTAACCCCCGCGTAGGGGAAGAAAGAACATCTTACTCTGAACCCAACATATAAGAGACATGTCTTAGTGGGGAGAACCAGTCATCTTCACCTTGCCTGGAATAATCCAGCTGGGGAAGACATTTTACATTTCCACCTCCCAGCAGCTCAACTTTTATGCCTGAGGCCATCTTCTATGCCATTCCTCCCCACCCCACCCCACCAAAAATCCCTTCAATCTCTCACATCTTAAACTCATTTCCTTTCAGGTCGGACAGATTAGGCAGCAGGCTAGGAGCTTCAGCAGAAGTGACCTTGCCTGCAGCCTCCCAGATGTCTCAGTCACAGCTAAGCATCGGTACCCCGGAGGGCCCTGCCAGTACAATGCTCTCTGTTAAATCTTTTTCCTTTTAGTAAAAATCTCTTCTGCCTCCTCTCATGATTCGCTATCTTTGAGAGCCTTTTCTTTAGTCTCAATTTTCCATCCCTCCTATTTTCCTACATTTTCTTTCTTCCTGCTTTGTAGAGATGGGATCTCACTATATTGCCCAAGACTAGTCTCAAACTCCAGGCCTCATGTGATCCTTCTGCCTTGCTTTCCCAAATGCTGGGGTTATAGGCGTGACCCGCCACACCCGGCCCCTTATTTTTAGTTAAATTTATCTTGGTAAAAAATGCCTTTCTTGCTGGGCGCGGTAGCTCACGCCTATAATCTCAGCACCTTGGGAGGCCGAGGCGGGTGGATCACCTGAGGTCAGGAGTCTGACCAACATGGAGAAACCCCGTCTCTACTAAAAATACAAATTAGCCGGGCGTGGTGGTTCATGCCTGTAATCCCATCTACTCATGAGGCTGAGGCAGGAGAACCGCTTGAACCCGGGAGGCGGAGGTTGTGGTGAGCTGAGGTCTCTCCATTGCACTCCAGCCTGGGCAACAAGAGCAAAACTCAATCAGAAAAAAAATAAAATAAAATAAAAGCCTTTCTCCCTGCAAATATTGCACTACAGCACCAATAATATTTTCTATGTCCTGCACTCACAATTTTAACCCTAATAGGAAGGACAACTGTAATTCTTTCATGAACCCCAACAGATGGCTGGACCCTGGCCTGTGCCCCCAAACACAGACCTTTTCAAGGTCTAATGCTTCCAGAGAAGTCTTCACACTGGCTGAGACCCACACTTTTAATCTATACAACCAGACAGCCCGATCCTCTAAACGCTCAACCATCTCGTCCTCAGTGGTATATGGTTACCTAAAATAAACCTGAGAAGTCAACACAACTTCCCCGGGTGACTTTCCTATGATAAGAGGGTGAACAGAACTGACATTCAAAGAGAACTGATGAAGCGGCAGCAGTGCAGGCTAGATAAGAAATGAAAAGGCCTTAAGATGGCTTGGTGACTTAGGAGAAAATAGAACAAGGCAATTAACATCATTAATATTTGCCTTTCTGAGTGAACCCCAAACAAGCAAAAATAACCAGTAATTATATCATTCTTACCTTCTGTGTCCCCATGGCCCGAATCTAATTCAAGTCTTCAAGAAAGATCTAGGGGTGTGATTCCAGAAACAGCTTTTTCAGCCAACAAAACCTTCAAAATGTCCTTCTCAGCAGCAAGTCTTCTCCAGGTTCTCAGGAAGGCTCCAGAGTCTCACCACTACAGCATCTCTGGGTCTGGCTGGGATCATGACTATTTATAATCTCCGCAAAGGGTGGAGCCTGAAAGGGCGACAAGCCCCCAGCCCCACCCCACCCCACCCCCCTGAAATAATCTTGTGATCTCTCGGAATTCTGTGTTATCAGAACTTCAGAACTATCCCCACCCCCGCACCACCGACAATAACGCCCTCCCTCCCCCCTCTCTTCAAACCACATCCTGCCACTCTCTCTACCCTGGGTTTTTTTTTTTTTTCTTTTTTTTTTTTTTTCAAAAGCTCATCCTTACTCCTTCCCTCTTCTAATAGCAGTTACAGCCTCTTAGTTTCACAGACAAAATGCTACCAGAAAAGCCTGGAGGGAGGGCAAATACACTATTTTTTGCTCTGGAATCTGCTTGGGATTAAAACAATCTACAGAGAGATGAGAATCAATCTATCCATATAAAACAAAGTGGGTGCTACTATCAGAGATTTAAGGTTGTTAGAAAGAGTGTAAGCAGTAAGGATTCCTGATTCTATGAATTTATCAGTCGTTTTTTGTTTATAGGGTGGGTCTACAATCTTTTTTTTTTTTCTTTTTTTTTTAAGAGGGAGTCTGCGATCTTAAAAGGGAGGGAAAGACAGCCTGTGAGAAGAAAATCAGGGAAAGAATTTTGCCAGTGTTCTCTGATTAGCATAATCTCACCTGGAGGGAAGAAACCTGAATTTCTAGGAGCCAGACCAACTATCAGGGCAGCAAGAAGAGGTTCAACTGTTTATGAAATACAATCCATATTCTTTTTTTTTTTTTTTTTTTGATATGTTGCCTCACACTGTCACCCAGGCTGTAGTGCAGTGGTGCGATCTCGGCCCACTGCAACCTCCGCCTCCCGGGTTCAAGCAATTCTCCTGCCTCAGCCTACCGAGTAGCTGGGACTATACGCACCCGCCACCACGCCCAGCTAATTTTTGTATTTTTAGTAGAGACAGGATTTCACCATATTGGCCAGGCTGGTCTCAAACTCCTGACCTTGTGATCTGCCCACCTCGGCCTCCCAGAGTTTTGGGATTACAAGTGTGAGCCACCGCGCCTGACCCCACATTCTTTAATAAGGTATTTGCCATATCACCCATTCTGAATTCTGCATCGCTTTTTGCTAGTCTCAAGCTTATAGCATCTAGAAATGCAATGAATATCGAGTTCAATTAAGCAGATATTTGCTGAGTACATGCTATGTATCAAGTACTCTCCAAGAAACTGGTGATTCTTCAGTGAATAATAGGACAAAAGGCCAGGCGTGGTGGCTCACGCCTGTAATCCCAGTACTCTGGGAGGCTGAGGCGGGCGGATCACGAGGTCAAAGGATCGAGACCATCCTGGCTAACACGGTGAAACCCCGTCTCTACTAAAAATACAAAAAAAAAATTAACTGGGCGTGGTAGTGGGCGCCTGTAGTCCCAGCTACTTGGGAGGCTGAGGCAGTAGAATGGTGTGAACCTGGGAGGCGGAGCTTGCAGTGAGCTGAGATCGCGCCACTGCACTCCAGCCTGGGCGAAAGAGCAAGACTCTGTCTCAAAAACTAATAATAATAATAGTAATAATAATAATAATAGGACAAAAGAGTTCTGACCCACAAGGCATTTATAGTGTTTTCCAGACCTTTTTGTATTTAATAAGAAGGGACTAGGGCAAGCAATTCTCACATAACTGGAAAAGATAATGAATACCCTAGTAGTTATGGACTGTGAGTTTCTTGAAAGAAAAGTGTGAGATAAGTATCTGATTACTAAGCTATACAAGAAAACTGAACAAGCTAAGTAGGAGAAGCAAATAGGAATGAGAACTGAGGGAGGGATAATGGGGAGAGAGAAGAGTGGCTCCAGGGTGAGAGCAAACAAAGCAAAACAATTTAGTTTGTGTTTAAACAGCTGGGTAAGTGGGAGATAGTATCTAGGCTTTTTTGGAGGAGGTATATCAACTATCAAATTCCTAATGTCCCTTTATTTGTAGCTGGCAACCCTTTCAGTACTGGAGGTGGCAGGGTGGGTGAAGGAAGCTTGGTAAAGAGATAAACGTTTTCCCAGTGGTGAACTGGAGAAAGTGCATCTTCCTTTAGGGTTTTGGTTGAGGGCCTAGAATTCAAATTAATACTGCTGTACCCGAGAAAACTACATTACTCTTGCTTCCTTTGCTTTAATGAGGATATTGTTAAAATCTGATTTGATGACAACTCCCCTCCCCCATCTAACCCTTGCCTTCCAGGAAACGCTGAGCCAGAGGCCCCTTTAGTCACCACCACAACTGAATTTGGCATCTAAAGGAAAAAGGATATCCCAAAGAGCAGTGCTGTGCAATAGAAATATAATGTGAGCCTGTCACATTATGGTTTCTAGTAGCCACATTAAAGATTTTAAAAGAAATGAGAATTTTTTTTCATAATTATTTTATTTAAACCCAATATATCCAAAACATTGCCATTTCAGCATGCATTCAATATAAAAATTATTAATAGCTTACTTTTTTGTACTAAGTCTTTGAAACATATTGTATATTTTAAAGTTACAAATTAAAGCAATATGTAGCCCTACCAAAACAACAAAGTTGTGTTTATCAGGAAAATATTTTAAATTGCATATTGAGCATTGCCTGGACAACACAGTGAGACCCCTTCTCTACCTAAAAAAAAAAAATTAGCTGGGTGTGGTAATGGCATGCGCCTATAGACCCAGCTTCTTGGGAGGCTGAGGTGGGAGGATCACTTGAGCCCAGGAGGTAGAAGCTGCAGTGAGCTATGCAGCCTGGGCAACGGAGTGAGACCCTGTCTCAAAAAAAAAAAAGTGTGTTGAGCATATTGAGACAAGTATTCCTTGAGCAAATGGGACCTAGGAGGAACCTGATGCTCAAAAACCAGTTCCGGAGTGGGCTGGCCCCCAAAGCAACATAGATGTCCAAGCTTAGATAGTCCTTCACCTTGGTCACTAGAGAAGAGTTGTGATGTAAATCTCAATCCTAGAATCTACATCTGCATAATGTAAATCTCAATCCTAGTTTCATGCAGCTTTGTGGGATGGATGCTTGCTATATGATAACCAAGTGGAAAACAAACATAAAATCTAAAGTCAAGGAATACAAGGCTTTAAACGCATTGAGGTAAAGACAGGGAAAACTATCTCTTTCATAAAACAATATAAGAGGCATTTCAAGACACACTAAAAAGCTAGTAACCGGGCCAGGCGCGGTGGCTCACACCTGTAATCCCAGCACTTTGGGAGGCCGAGGCAGGCAGATCACCTGAGGTCAGGAGTTCGAGACCAGCCTGGCCAACATGGTGAAACACTGTCTCTACTAAAAATACTAAAAAATTAGCTGGGAGTGGTGGTGCATGCCTGTAATCTAAGCTACTCAGGAGGCTGAAGCAGAAGAATCACTTGAACCTGGGAGGCGGAGGTTGTAGTGATCCGCGATTGTGCCACTGCACTCCAGCCTGGGCAACAAGAGCAAAAACTCTGTCTAAAAAAAACCCAAAAACAAAAACAGAAACAAAAAAGCTAATAACTGATCTAAAACTTTCCTTGCGTCCGTAATATTCCTCATAAAGAACAACTTTTGTTAAAGCATGTTACTTTTTAATCTTCCTGTATTAGGTTAGTTCACTTGAATTTGAAAACACTGTAGAAAATAAGTCCTCAAGATTAAGAAGGAAAACGTTTGAGAAATGTTGATTTTCCTGTCTAAACTGGGTTTACATCATCCTTCCATCACTCCCATTGATCTTGAAGGGCCTACTCCCAGCTCTCAGGTCCGTCCCACTTTCAGGAAGGTCTTCCCTCCTCCTCCCTCTCCCTTCTTCAAAAATGAATCCATTCCACATCAGGGCTACATGAATTATCCTAAATCAGAATTTGAATGTTATCAATTTCCTACTCAAATATCTTCAATGATTATTGAATAAAGCCTAGACCAGTACTGTCCAATATACATATAGTATGAGTCACAAATGTCACTTAAAATTTTTCTTCTGCACATGGGGTCTCACACCTGTTGTAATCCCAGCACTTTGGGAGGCTGAGGTGGGCAGATCACTTGAGGTCAGAAGTTCAATACCAGCCTGGCCAACATCGCAAAACTCCGTCTCTATGAAAAATACAAAAATTTAGCCAGGTGTGTCCACACACCTGTAACCCCAGCTACTTGGGAAGCTGAGGCATGAGAATCACTTGAATCCAGGAGGCAGATGTTGCAATGAGCCAAGACAGTGCCACTGCACTCCAGTCTGGGTGACTGAGTGAGACACTAAGTCAAAAAAACAAAACAAAACAAAACAAAAAAACTCAGTAGCCACATTAAGAAAATAAAAAAGAAACACATTAATTTTAATATTATACTTTATATACCCTAATATATCCCCAAATTCTCATTTCAGCATGAAATTAATATATATAATAATATATTGACTTCACATGATCCAATTATGATGCAGCTTAGAATACTTAAATACCGCGTGGCTCAGCTGTAATCCCAGCACTTTGGAGGCCGAGCGGGCGGATCACGAGGTCAGGAGTTCGAGACCATCCTGGCTAACACGTGAAACCCCGTCTCTACTAAAAATACAAAAACTAGCCGGCGAGTGGCGCCTGTAGTCCCGCTACTCGGAGCTGAGCAGGAGAATGGCGTAAAACCCGGGAGGCAGAGCTTGCAGTGAGCTGAGATCGCCACTGCACTCCAGTCTGGGCGACACAGCGAGACTCCGTCTCAAAAAAAAAAAAAAAAAAAAAAAAAAGAATATACTTAAAATATACACCCAAGAAAAAAAAATTAGAAGTATACCTACGCTTTGCCTCAGCCAATCTAACTATTTGTCAGTTTTCAAACAGGCCCCATTTCCTGCCTCATAGGTTTTACTTTGTCTTACTCTGTCTTAAAAAATAAATCCCTTTCACTGCTGCTTGTACAAATCTTTCCCATCCTTTATGGGTCAATTCTAATGCAAGATCCTCCTGGCCAAAGGACATACATTTGAAGATTATGCATATCTTTTTGTTTTTTTTTTGTTTTTTTTTTTTCCGAGAGTCTCACTCTATCGCCCAGGCTAAAGTGCAGTGGCGTGATCTCGGT